ACCCCGTGCTCAGGTATACCTTTCAATCGAGCATATGTTCGATCAGCACGAACTGCTCCAGCTCTTTGACCATAGATTTGGTGGCATAAAAATCATCGAGAGCTATAAAGGATCGAGGAACCCCGTAATCGTCGTCTTCGTCAATCCCTTGCTTGTCCGATTGGGTCAAGGCTGGCATCGATGATTGCTATTTGGCTTCCTGTTTCGCTCTTGAACCTGAGTCCTTTTTCGATAAGAGTATTGATATTGGAATTACTTCATCGACGGCAAACATCTCCTTTGCGGAGGGTTGCTCCCCATAAACCGTCTTTATCCCTTTTGGTGTTGGAAATTTTAATACTTGGTGAAGGGTCGAGGGCACAAACCTCATGTTGTGGATCCACGGTCTCCCGAACAGGGTATTGTATCTCATGTCCCCCTTGATTACATAAAACTTGGTCCTCTGGGTGGTACCAGCTATGTTTACCGGCAACGTTATTTTTTCCTTAGTGGTTTCGCAAGCCATGTTGAATTTGTTTAGCACTCGGGTCGCAGGTACGATCTGATTCTGTAGGCCGAGTTGTTCTACGACCCTCGAATGAATGTTGTTGGACGAGCTACCTGGATCAATTGGCACACATTTAACTCGAGTTTTATTCATAAGTACAGAAATTACCAGTGCATCATCATGGGGTTGCAAGATTCCTTCTGTATCCTCGTCGTTGAAAGATAGAGTCCCTTCTGGTAGGTAATCTCGACTCTATTTTTCCCTTGTAATTGATACTTTGGTGCGTTTTATCATCAGACCTTGAGGAACATCGACCCCTCCGATGATCATATGGATGACATGCTGGGGTTCGTCTTGTTCATTTTATTTATTGGAGTCTCTGTTTATGAAATGATTCTTAGCTCGGTCACTTAGAAATTCTCGAAGGTGACCGTTGTTGAACAAGCGGGCTACTTCTTCCCTCAATTGTCAACAATCCTCCGTCCTGTGGCCATGTGTGCCATGATATTTACATATTTGATTGAGATCCCTTTGTGTTGGATCAGTTTGCAAAGGTCGGGGCCACTTGGCTTCTTTGATGCGCCCGATAGCCGATACGATGGCAACCGCATCAACATTAAAGTTATACACTGACAATCGTGGTGCCTCTTGGGGTCCAATAGGTCTTTCGAAGCCGTTCTTGCTCATGAGTCCTCAATAGCTTTGACCTAGATCATTTCTCCTTTCATTTCGTGCAGAATTTCGCCCAGATCCGTTGCTCATACGATCTCCATTATACGGTCGATATCGATCTCTGTTCGACCTTGGTTCTTAGTCAATATCTCTCTTGATTCTATCGACAGGTCTGATAGGATAAACGAATCCAGAAGGAGCCCCAAGTTTATCGTCCTCAACCCTCATCTTTGATTGATACCGATTATATACATCGGCCCAAGTAACAGCTGGGTATTCTATCAAGTTCTACTTCAATTGATATGAAGCCACTAAGCTTCGAACGTTGATCCCTTGAGTGAAAGCTTGAACGGCCCAATCAGCAGTGACCGGTAGCAAGTCCATCCATTCCATTTGGAATCGAGACACGAATTCTATAAGCATTTCATTGTCCTTCTGCCTTACCTTGAAATGTTTTGACCTTGATGGACCCGGCGTGTGCCTTTACGAAAGAATCTGCAAGCATAGCAAATGAGTCAATAGAATTAGGTAGTAAATTATGGTACCATATCATAGCTCTCTTTGACAGGGTCTCCCCGAAATTCTTTAGCAAGATGGGTTCGATCTCGTCATCCTCTAGATCATTCCCTTTGATAGCACACGTGTAAGAGGTGACGTGCTCGTTCGGATCAGTCATTCCATTATACTTAGGAATCTCGGGCATGTAGAACTTCTTGGGGATTAGCTTCGCAGCCGTTCTCGGGGGAGGGGGGAAGGTTTTTGTATGAACTTTTTGGAATCTAGTCCTTTCAATATTGGTGGTTCCCCCGGGATTTGATCGACCCTAGAGTTACAAGTTTCCACCTTCTTGTCGTTTGCCTCGATCTTCTTTTTCCCTGACTCAATTCGCTTCGTCAGTTCTTCGAGCATCTTTATGATTGCTGGGTTGATCTCCGACTCTTTCTTGCTCGATTTTCTTGAAACTGATTCGACCATGTGTACAACTTCCTGGGATGGCTCAAGCTCAACCCTGCTAGGGGTATGATTCTAGTTTTGGAGCTGGGCTATTGCTGCCCGCTGAGACTGCAACATTTCGAAGATCACCTGCAGGCTTATCCTACCATCTTCACCGACACATGCGCTTTGAGCGGCTGATCAAGCATACCCACAGATGGTGCCTTCGGGATCGACGGCCAAAGTCCCGTTGATGGTTATATGTGAACTGACGTCCACTGGATCCGCAGCCGAAAATTCATCGAGGCCAATACTGGTACATCGTTCCCTGCTACTATGTTATCATTTTCGTCGTGGCGGCCGAAATCATTGTCAATGTGTAGAGGTGCTGACTTAGAGTTTGATATTTTTTAGTCCTGTAATCAAAGACACTTCAAAGAACAAGTGTAAAATAGTGTGTGTCATGAAAGTTTGTACCAGGTAATCACCATTATTCGTAGCCCCACGGTGAGCGCCAAACTGTTTACCCTAAAATCGGATAACAGTTGAATTTATACGCGGTTTTAAGGATACGTAATATAACTTGGTACAAATTAAGAAGAATAATTAATATTGAAATTGATCATAAAAGAATAAATGCAAACCACACAAATTAAATAGCCTTGGCCCTCGAGTTCAGTCACCCTTGAACTAAAAGATGTTTCAACTGACTTATGAACAGAATTACAAGATAGTGAAAGCTAGAAAATGATAGTATATTGCTTTGTATTGCATAGAAATGATGAATATTACAAGTAATCAGACCCCCTTTATATAGTAAGGGAGTCCTACTCTTGGTACAGTTCTATATGAGGTAAGAAATCTCATGATTAGCTAATTAATAGTCCTCTTCTTAATACGTGTCGGGATTTTCACCGTGATCCTCGCCCAATTACGGATATTTCAGCTTTCCGTTATTTGGCTCGGTAGGTTTTCTTCGATCTTGCTCGATCTCGAGCTTGATCGGCCTCCGGGTCACGAGCTCGACAATCTATCTTTGCACCATGGTTCGATATAACACGAGAACGAACTTTGACCTATCATATTTCGATCTCGATTAGTCATACAAAGGGCAAGCCCGATTTTGACCGTGTACATATACCATCATAGACATGTTGCTTCGAAGCTTCGGCAACAAATTCATGTAGAATTCCATTGATTTCTACCCAACTACAACCAGGTTTTTTCTTGATTCTTTGATCTCTCATCATCTTCACAATCGTGGAAGCATCTTCCAACATATTACCAGAGCTATACAAATTCCAAAGAAGTACATACACCCCGTCATCATGAGGTTCTAGTTCAAGTGCTTTCTCTGCAGCCATTTCAGCTAATTCCAAATTTCTATTCGCGACACAAGCAGTCAAAAGTGATCTCCATATGACAGCATCAGGTTTCATTGGCATTTGATGAATCAATCTCACTGCTTCATCTATATGACCTGCTCGACCAAGGAGGTCCACCATACATCCATAATGCTCTATCTTAGTTGCACAACTACTGTCCTACTTCAATCTGTTGAATAATTCTTTCCCCTCGTTAACTAATCCAGCATGGCTGCAAGCAGAGAGAACGGAAACATCTCATCAAAAACCTCAAGGCATTTGTTCCTTTTCCATCATGAAGTGCCAAACCTAAAACTATGCTAGTCCACGTGAAAGCATGCATCCTTTTTTATCATTCCTCTAAAAATCTTTGTAGCAAAATCAAGATTCCCACTTTTGCCGTACATATCAATCAGCGCATTGTTCGCACCAACATGGATAGCAAAACCGGCTACCTTGTTAACACACCCATGAATACTAGACTTCCCAAAATCCAGAGCTCCAATATCAGCACAGCAACTATATTGTGATTGTGGTCGGGCTGTCATCACCTCCATTCCTCATTCTCTTAAACAGTTCCAACGCCCTAACTGGTTCTTTGCCACGTACACACCCCACAATCATCACAGTCCACGAGATGGCATTCTTGTGGGACATTTCCTCAAACAACTTCCAAGCAGACCCAATTGCCCCGGAAACTACGACCATTGAGCAAACTAGTCCAAGTAGCAATGTCCTTAACGTGCATACTGTCGAATACACGTAGAGCCAAGTGGATTCTCTCTGTTCGACTATACATATCGATCAGTAAAATTGGATTTTCTTATTAAATCTTCTTTTTTTAGATTAAGATATCATCTGGCCAGTATATTTAAGAAGGAATGCGTTGTTTCTGTGGTTCTTTCTTTCCACTCCTAGCTTAGCTACTAATATAGTTCCAACTAATATGTATAGCTTATAGAGATATCTCTTAGCTTAGCTACTAACTAAAATATAGTCCCAACTAATATGTATAGCTTATAGAGATCATATCTCTTACATTGCGATCAATTTTTGCCAAGTCTGCATGGATGCTTGTAGTTGTTTCAATACGGTTTTGTTTTCGTGTGATTTTAGGTTCACTTTGTGCCCTTTTAACATTATCATGTCAAGCGACCTAATCGCATTTTATCCTTGATCTGTACTGTTACTTGCACCTTTTGTTGGATGTGATGATCATTCAAAAACTTTCCTTTTTTCTCCAAGTTTGTTCGTGAAAACAGCAGTTACTTTAAGAACCCCCCACCCCACCAAAAATCCCCATTCCACACCTAAAAAGAAAAAGGAAATTTAGAAAATGCTGGTGATACTACATAGAAATCTAAAATACATGCCGATTAACACGGCAATTTAGCGTTTCAAACAGTAAGATGAACGAGATATGATGATAATTGTGTGATGGTGCTGTTAAGTGTTAGTACTATTTTTGTTTCATGTGTTACTGTTATATCTTCGCTTATAAGGGATCGGAGTAAGAAATGCGCAGAAAGAACGCTCTTTGCATGGGAAATAATAGACGACATTAATTCACAATACAAGGTGTAGTACATTCAGCATAACCAACAAATGCAAATAGATCAAATATCAATAATGTCTAAGGCCTGACGAATCGAGCCTATAAGCCAAGAAACAAACATTCATCAAAAGAGTACACGACATGAAATGCACACTTGTTTTTTTTAATTACTTTTGAAGCTCATGCTTCTCTTATTAGATGAAATACATATTTCTTGAGTTTGGAAGCTCATGCTTCTCTTATTACTAGTAGTTCATTTCAGCAAATCAGAAATATTCGAATAAATGCAAATTATTAAGCGACTAGTTTGTTACTTCATTTTTCTTCTTCAATCCTTGACGACTTGAGCCTTCTTAAACATAACCTTAAATGGGACATCACTTAAAGCCAAACGTCTAATTCCATCCTGAATGAAGATGCCAACATCTTTGCAAATGACCTTGCAGAAATTGCATACTGTAGGACAATATACCAGCTTATAATCACGTTCAAATTTCTCAATCTTGAACCAGTTACTTATAGTTTCCCTACCAGGATTTCCTTCATTTCCACCAATCGTGATAAAGTATTTCCCTGTCGTTTCATCAAAGTCATCTAGCTTCCACAGGGTTGTCTGAACACAGATTGAGGCAGCAGAGAACTTGATGTTTAAATCAGTGGATTCGCGAATCACGCCTTTTTTTGGATTAACGGGTGTAAAGGTCAAAGGAAGGCCATTTTTGATCTCTTGTTGTTCTTGGACAACAGCGTCAAGTGGACAAGATTCATTGCCGGTACTATCTAGGGTGAGTCCACCACCTCGTCCACGGACCACTGGCAAGATGTAGTAATCGATGCCTGTCCGGAGTTTCTTTCCAGCAATGTCGACTACTGCTGGAGGAGCTTCGGCAGCTGAGGAGAGGAAAGAGTTAAAAGAGATGGTAAAGATGAGGAAGGGGAGGAAAAGTTGATTGGTCTTCATTTTGAGCTGTGTTTGGTATATATGTGAAGTTAATGTAGTGTTAGCAAATGGATTTAAGGCTTTTGGGGTTTTTATAGCTGTGGCCTGTGGGAATTCAAGAAAATGCACATGGCCACCGGATTAAATAATTGTGAAGGCCGGGAGATATGATCTCAAAGAAAATTCGTTTTCTTTTTGGGTGGTGTTTGACTCACATAATTCAAGAATTTCTAATTCTAGATCGCTCTCACCGGTCTACTCTAATTGATTTTTTTGTCTTTTTGTTGTGATTCACAATATATAATTTTTTCACATATTTAGGAAGAATTAACTTTTTTTTTTCAAAGTTGCCCTTAGAATAAAGAGCCTAGGAGTAATTATTATATTTCCAATGAACAAAGTAAGGTTAATATGGTCAAACTTATTATTAATTAATGTTAAAAAGTGAATTTATTAATATATGTGAAAACAACCAAAAAAATTAATTAAAATAGATCGGGGGAGTATTAGCTTACTACTTCGGACGGAGAAATTTTACTATGTGAGTCACATAACCAACATTACTTATATGAGTCTAGTTCATTTCTTGACAGGTGGACTCATATTCCTAGATTGTTTTTACTTCATTTTATTGAACTAATTTACGGCTACTCTAATCTGAGAAAAATCGACACCGCAAGCTTAGAGGATAAACTGGAAGTTGGTGAATAACGCGTTAAGATTTTTAAAATATAACTTTGACTAAGTTTCTTGGTGAAATTACAAGTTTTATTATTTAAACTGTGATCAACTAATGAGAACTTTTTAATTGAATATTACCAGTTTACATTTCTAATTTTCTACTTTCTCTCACCTATCATATAAAATATTTATCAATATTCTCTTTGGTTGAATAGCTCAAGATACGATATGTTAAATTTTGCAGATATATAGATTTCTCGTGCCTTTAATTTTTACTTGGATCCTAAAATGAAATATTATCAATAAAAAAGTTTTTTTTATGAAACAGTATATCTAATAATATAATGAAAGAGATCTTTTCTTATTTTATTTTTTTTATTGTCCATCATTTAAGCCTCTAATTAGGGAAAAGAATAGACTTAAATATTGCCTTTTTTAGTTTATGCTTTAAAATAAGTAAGTAGGGGATATGAGTCCACTTATCAAAAAAAATGAATTAGACTCACATAAGTAATATTGGTTATGTGACTCACATAGTAATCAGACGAATTGATAAGAAATTGAGAAAATGATGAGCATGTATAACGCATTAAACAATGCGCTTTAGTCGCTTCTATTTTGCTTTGCGGCATGTTACAAGTTTGTGGTTGCCAAATCGTTCAAGACTTCAAGTACTTTTCCTCTATCTTCATTTTACTTATAATATGCAGTACCGTGTGATATTATTTTCCCTTCAAAAGGTCAAACTTAATAATGGTCAACATTATTTATTGTAGTTACATGCTGATCCCTAGTCTGCGCAAAGGTGAACATATTCTACTTATTGACAATATTTTATTGAGGTTAGATCATAAATTAGCTAAGCAAGAAAATAAAATGTGGATAGTTTGGATAAGATGATCTGGATGCACCTCACATGATGTGTCAATCAACATCTCTAAACTTGTGATTAGGGGCTGCTGTGGACTCTAATCTTCCTTTTCCAGCTAACCCAAACACACACAAAAAAAAAAAAAAAAAACAATGATCAGAATCTACTCCTGCCAAGATTATAACACAAAAGGAGAACTTACTATTCCAGATCGAGGATACTAATCCAAAAATGCAATGTTGAATAGATGAATAACAACACAAGTGCAATAGTGCACAGATGCATTTGCACATAGTCAAAGATAATTAACCGAGGAGCACTTCCTGCATTGCGTTTATCTACCACCAATTAAGTAGTGTCTTCCATAGTTAAAAGAACTAGGACTGGAATCTTTTCTAGGACTCTTTGTCCTAGTCCCAAATATCACCCCTAAATCCAGGGCAGAAAATTTTATAGCTGCCAAAACACTACATTTCTGCAGTAATAGTAAAAAGATCCACGTTTGATTGCTTTAAAATTGTATCTAGTACCCTGTATATACCATCATAGACACGTTGCTTCGTAGCTTCGGCAACAAATTCATGTAGAATTCCATTTATTTCAACCCAACTACAACCAGGTTTTTTCTTGATTCTTTGATCTCTCATCATCTTCACTGTCCTGGAAGCATCTTCCAACATATTACCAGAGCTATACAAATTCCAAAGAAGTACATACACCCCGTCATCATGAGGTTCTAATTCAAGCGCTTTTTCTGCAGCCATTTCAGCTAATTCCAAATTTCTATTCGCGACACAAGCAGTCAAAAGTGATCTCCATATGACAGCATCAGGTTTCATTGGCATTTGATGAATCAATCTCACTGCTTCATCTATATGACCCGCTCGACCAAGGAGGTCCACCATACATCCATAATGCTCTATCTTAGTTGCACAACTACTGTCATTCTTCAATCTGTTGAATAATTCTTTCCCCTCGTTAACTAATCCAGCATGGCTACAAGCAGATAGAACAGAAAGATACGTAATCTCATTTGTAGTTATTCCAGATTCCAACATCTCATAAAAAGCCTCAAGTGCATTTCTTCCTCTACCATGAAGTGCCAAACCTAAAATTATGCTAGTCCACGTGAAAGCATCCTTTTTTATCATTCCCCTAAAAAGCTTCGTAGCTAAATCAAGATTCCCACTTTTAGCGTACATATCAATCAGTGCATTATTTACACCAATGTCGACAGCAAAACCAGCTACTTTATTTACATACCCATGAATCGATGTCCCAAGGTCCAGAGCTCCGATGTCAGCACAACCAGATAGCACAGCAACTATTGTGATTGTGGTCGGGCTGTCATCACCTTCCTTCCTCATTCTCTTAAACAGTTCCAACGCCCTAACCGGTTCTTTGCCACGTACACATCCCACAATCATGATAGTCCATGAGATGGCATTCCTGTGAGACATTTCCTCAAACAACTTCCAAGCAGACTCAATTGCCCCGGAAATTACAAACCCATTGAGCAAACTAGTCCAACTAGCAACATCCTTAACGTGCATACTATCGAATACATGCTGAGCCAAGTGGATTCTCTCTGTTCGGCTATACATATCGATCAGAGCATTACCCACAATGGGTTCAGGTCGACTAAGAAATTTATAGACCATAGCGTGCACTGTTTTGCCATTAATCAGGTCTTGCGTGCGAGCACAAGCTGAGAGAGCTGCAACCATGGAATGGGAATCAGGTTTAAGAGAAGTTGAAACCAGTAAACGGGTGAATAGAGAGAAGGCTTTAGTAGGTTGTTGTAATTGCAAATGAAGAGACAGAAGACAAGTCCAGGAGACAATATCAGGTTGGGGAATTTGATCGAACACCTTGTGGGCAGCAAATGGTTTGTTCAGCTTGGCATATGCATTGAGCAATTTGCACGCAAAAGATTGATGAGATTGCACAAAGACACCACAGGTGATGGATTGAGCGTGAATTTGCTTAATCAAATGCTCATGGCTTACGCATTTGTCAAGTAGACGTTTCAGGGTTGTAGCTGTCGCTGCCAGTATCTCACTGTTTTGGATGACATGAAAACTCATTAGAATTCAAATAGTCCTAATAGAAAAAGAAAAAAAAAAGATTTACAAGGCAGAGAGTTCTCTGAATTTACTTGGAAAAAAATTAATCACAACAATAAATTGTTAAAGAAAAGTGATTGTGAGTACCAAACAGTAATAATACAAGTGACACTGAAACCAAGGAAATTGGATAGTTTTTACTCTTTAACTTCCAAAAGTTGTAGATTTCTTAAGTTTCAGGTGTCTCATAATTTTTTATGCGTTCCCTCCCAGAAATATACAGAATCCTAAAAACATTTGATTCGTTTTCACAAATATTAGTGATGAATGAAGTATATGCGAGTGTTAAAGGAAATACATGTAAATGTAGGGAAGGAGGGAGAGGAATAGTAATGACTAGTAGGGGAGGAAATGCCAACACCAAGGTAAATGCCAGTTAAATATCCGATCAACTGCATAAGCAAATAAATACTCCATCAATCAATTAGGTGAGTTATTCAAACGGATTACAACTGCAATGCAATTTTTGCGCCAACAAGCTGCTCAGACTTCATTTACACTAATCTACTTCAGAACAAATTACAAGGCTATAGCATGCCTTCACTACATTTTTGGACAACAACCGCCTGTCCCAAATACTCCATAAATGCACCAAGTTCTTGTATACGATGCGCAAGGACCAGACTGAGTTTGTGAGTTACTATCTTGAGCATCTCCAACAACATGCGCCCTGGAAAAGAGCAATAAATATCAGAAGCTCACAGAGAAGAGGGTACACAGAGCCTTAACGGCACATTTCAAAAACATGTAAGGTCAGGATATTGTCCCCTTATATTTTTAAGTGAGTTTAACCATGTATTTTTCTTTTTAAGAGTACATGTGCAAGAAAAGGACACTTACCTTGTACAAAATCGATCATACACCTATAACCCTTTCGCAGACAGAGCTCAAGTCAGGAACTTTCTTGATACTGCATCCAAAAAGAGTATTAAACACATTAATAACTTCAAACCATAAATAACCAAACCTAGTACAGGCAAAACTTAATAAGAAACAGAAAACAACCAACCATATACTCTTCATCAAAAGAAGCCACGCAAATTGACATTATTGTCCAAAAGTTTTTTGCAACCATATTCTCTATGCCATAACAAGTCATTCAAATGAACATTCTCTAAAGGTTATGGGTTTAAAGCCATTCTAATGATGGCTTACATGACAACCAAGAAGTGTTAAAACCCAAGCCATAAAAATGAGATTTATAGAATATTCTTAATGATTTTGTCATTGTTGAAATAATGATTAGGAATCTCAACAAGTAGGAAATTTTCCTTATTTCATCTCAAACATAAGGAGCCCATCTGTACATTGTTAACCAACCACTTCACTTAGAGCAATTCTCTCTTTCTCTATTCGTAGTAAGCAATAACTAAAAAGGTTTGTGTAAAACAGGTGTCAAGAAACAGCAGTGAGTATGCCGGTACCCCAAGCCAATAGAGCAAACTAAGCATTGGCAAGTTATATTCACCTTTATCACCTAAGTTGCTCCGACATGGCAGTTTAGGTGTCGCACCCGTGTCGACACGACACTAGTGTGGGTGTGGGTATGGGATCCATACCGGATCTGGTCATACGTTTGGGTACTCTGACCACGATGAACAGAAAAATTCTAGACGAGATAACTAGAGTGAATTTGAAGAAAATAGAATAGCCTATCTAGGAAATCACTGCTTTACTTATATACAACTTGAGAATAAAAAATAAATCCACACTTTACAAGCCATACGTAAGTATTCCACAAAATTTCTCATAATTTTGAGATATTTCCATATTTCTATTTTTTTGAATTATTTTTAGCCGGAACCCAACACCTGTATCCATACTAGGATCCGTATCCTCAAATCTTAGAATTTACATCTCGAAGGATCCGACGTCTAGATCCCACCCGTGTCCGAGCAACTTAGTTTATCACTATCAGATGCAAAAATGTTGACATAGCCTTTAAGAATCAAATTTCAAGTATATAAAATGGATAAAGGTTTTAAAGGAAACAGTCCGAGTCCACAAGTCACCTACATAGCAGTGGATAATAGATTAAGGGAAGATGCCTTTGGAGACTGAGCCTGTGACCTCTAACACAGAACAGATCCTACCACACCATGCTCTCACATAGTAAACCAAACCAACATTCAGTATAATGTTTTACATGACAGATACCTGTACAAAAGGTCTCCAGTGGGGGCAGACTTCTTGCATAGCCACTCTGGAACTAGTCTCTCAAGATGTTCTATCTGCCCTTCCACATCAGCTACATTAAGACAAAATGGCTTTAGATCTATCAAAAAGTTGTAAAACATGAACCAGCAAAAGTAAGAAAAGAAAGGATATAGCTTTTGAGCATACTGTTCTCATCAATATCATAGTCATTCACTATGATCTTGTGAACAAGTTCCACTTTAGTCATTGAACGACAGCCAACAGACTGGAAAATGCGGTGAATTAGACGAACAAGATCGGATAAACCAAGAGATTCCTTCCGGGCCGCAGTCAAATGACTTTGATAATTCTTCTCTTCCTTGCTAAAGGAGCAACGCCTTTCCTGAACCTACCAGAAGATTCACAATCAATTTCATGGTAAATCATATTAACAAAGCAAGTCAAACTATAGAGCAATAGTCCAAGTTGCCTTTAGCTCTGAACATGCTTAGTAGACAGAAAGCAATCCAACCACACACTTGGATAACTGCAAGTTTAACAATAAATTATCATTGTGTGAAAAATCATTTATCCACCATGTAATAGTGTTTTCACTTGTCATTTTGTATTTCACTTCCAAATGAGCTTATTCACATTGATAACAGAAACAGCTCTATGGCTTCTAGTTGTAAAATCATCTAAGAACTTGCCCAGGTAATAATGGTACCTCATGAGGGTATACATCAGCATTAACTTGATCTTCCTTTGAAATCGACTTCCTTTCCATTATAAGGGCATTATCTGCATCTTCATGATGCTCTATACTGCCAGAACTCAAATCTGAAGACATTTCTTCACCACCCAAGGTGGAGAAATCCAATGACCTTTTGACAATTAGATTGGAAACAAGAGAGTTTTGGCCTGTCATACTCTTGTACTTATCTTCGGTAATTGGCACCGATCTCTTTGGTGTGGGCTGAGCAGGTGTTTCAAGCGTTACTTCACTTTCAGACAGGAGCTTCATAGGAGTTCTTTCATTTGCAAACAAACTACAACCTGGTAGAGTTTGGCTCTCTTCAACATTGTTCAGGTTGATGGAGGATTTGGGTGACTTAGGAGATCTCCTTTTAGAATCAAGTTCCTCATTCAATGTACATTCAGATACACAAGGTAAGCATGCCGGCGAAGGTACTGAGAGATGATCTATCTTTGCTTCTGTAGAAACAGCCTGCCGAGAAAAGCGTGAACTGAAGGATGGACAGAGATGGGATGATGATAACAATTCAGACTCAAGTGGACTTGGTAAATCCATAGGCAACCGGTCTGCATCGCTAGTGAGGCAGCTTTGGTTAAACGGATCTGGAAGTATGGCTTCGGGTATGTCACAATCCTGCTTTACAGTTAGCAAAATGAAAATCTCTGAGTGTATATATGACAGAAATAACTTAGTTAGACAAATAAAGATGCATAAGCAGTGTTTTGACCTCCAAATAGCGGATATCACACATTCTAAGCTTCAAATAGCAATTTATAGAACAAAATTACTTCAAGAAAAGAGTTAATAGGTTACAACAAGAAATCTAATGCACAAAATTATAATACAGTATTCGGGGTTAAGATGATTTTATCAGAAAAGGAAGTTATGTTATTGCAAGAAATATTCTTGAACAATTAGCTCTTTCTGGTCATGCTATAGCAATTTTTGTTTCATGCATTAGAGGAGGAAAGGTCTATGCACGGAAAAATAAATTAAAAAAACAAAGAGGGTATCTTTCAATTAGATATTTCTGTTTACTGAAGCATCAGATTCTGTATATCCAATTCTACTTGTATAAAGACCAGTTTGAAGAATTCCTCCGAAGCTGTTAAATACCAAACTTTAAGGATTATTACCTGAGCATGTTTATGGAGAAAATCCACAAGCCTGGATGCAAAAAGATTACTGAGGGTCATAAACATTGAGTGTTCTTTGTGATCTTCGACAGCATCTAAATGCAAGGTAATTTTAACATCTGGCTTCATGCACATGGTCTTCTCATCGTGCACAAGTAATTTATCTATCTGAATGGCTTCAGGAACTATATATTTTATCTGTGCGAGATGCCTGTGTGAAAATTTTCTGACAAAAGAAAATAGAGGATTAAACACTTAATTGCTGAACCATGGTCCAACTAAGGACTGAAAATGAAAATGATACTACTCTACGCTTGTATGATACATTTTGTGGCTGCAGTTGGTCAACAGTAGAATACTAGTGAACTAAAACTGATAGAGTAAACAAAGTCATAATACTTCAGTTTATACAAACTCTTCTTACACATGGTAGAGTTTAAGTACAACAACAACAACGAACCCAGTGCATTCCCATAAATGGGGTCTGGGGAGGTTAGTGTGTACGCAGACCTTACCCCTACCTTATAAAGATAGGGAGGTTGTTTCCTATAGACCCTCGACTCAAGGCACGGTGGAGATAAGGCAACAAGTAGCAAACAGTAGTAACCACAATACATTAAGGTAACGTGCATGAATGATACAACATGTAATAGTAAAGAATCATGAATAAGATCACACAAAAATAGTCCTAGTACTACTGGTAAGCCTAGGAGGAACACACTACTAATTGTCAACAAAGAAGAGAACAGATATAAAAGAAAATTCGGACTGACAAGATAGTTAAGAAAAAAGAGTAATGAGATAGATGAGATCGGCAACCACCCAGCTACCTTCCTGTAAGTACTTCGACTTGACTGGACACGTTCTTAAAAGTAGGTGACCTTTTTCGCAGACCGAGCAACCTCAAGGAACAAAGCATACGATCAAAGAACTCTGACAATTTTCTGTATCTGAAGACCAATACATACTCACTGTTAGAGTTAGACACAATTACATGGATAATGGAATAATCTAGTTTAATGAGGAACAGACCTTTCAGGAAGCTCAGCAATGTGTATTTCATGTTTAGTGTGTGATTGCTCATTCTTTTTCTCTGGTGTCCAAGATGAAAAATCTGTTCCAATAGAGTTGCCTACAGCGATCCCCCTCTTCTGCAAAGGTAAAGGAGATAGCACACTTGACTTCTCTGCCTCGAGCAGACAGCTTTGATTTTTCACATCCAAAACTCCTTCTTTGGTTACTTCATGGTCTGTTTTCTCCATGTTTTAATATAAAGCAGTACAAACCTGGAAGAAGAAAGCTCGCATTAGAAGAACAATTTAATAGGACAAAAATAATTCAATAAAATAATATAGGAGCCTGGAGCCTTAAGATATTGCAAGGACGTCAAACAAAACAATTACTACAAGGAAAGATGGATGCATCCACTTAACTGAACTAATAACAGAACATAATTAAAAGAAACGTTCAGTAAGGAAATTGATTGTCCAAAGACCAACTCCTGCAATAAAATATGAAAGCCTACTGATGACTAATTTTATTTGGAGGACTACCTACATGAAGCTGAGAGGCTCCTTCGCATGGACGGAATAAAGTATAATTCAAATCACAATTTACTTTAACAAGATTGAAAGAAAAACAACAAAAACAACCATAATTAGGAAGCAAAAGAGTAGATGTCAGCTACAATTTCATAAATTTCCAATTACAACCACAATTTCACATCACTTGACTAGTATTCCCAGGAATACAACCAATTGATCTTCGAATAGGCAAGTAAAACACGTTTGCTGTAAACTGTATTGTCCAGTAATCACCAAAAAGAAAATTAACCTAAAACGTTCCGAGTATAGTTTAAATGTAAGAAATGGAAAAAATGTTACCTTTAAATCTACCTTCAGAAATTTGAACTCACTCTTTCAGCAATTGATTTTGAAGAATAGTAAAGCGATAAGAACAAACAACAATCAATTGGAAACCCTAGTCAAAAATTTCCGTTGTAAGAGGAGGGAAAGAGCTGTTGGATCTTCATTCAAAAATCCATTGGTCGGAGAGTTTGCCTTTTTCAAAAGCTTTGGGCCACAAGGCCCAGATCACGCTAGCTTCTGGCAGATGGGCCTTCCCATGTACAGGTTTGGGAAGTGCTATCCAACAGCTTTTTTCCTTTGTTTGAAATGTTTACCTACATGTACTACATTAAAAATTTATTTACCCTCACTGTTTATAATTTAATTTAATTGAAATCCTTGATTATAGCCTTTGAATATTTTCTTTTTCTTTTTTCTCTTCATAGAATTAAATAATAGATTTGATGTCGTCGCTTATCACCGTCGAACCAGTCGTTATCCATTGCCCCGCCAGTCATTGGAAGCCATCAAAAGCTTCGAAACTATGATTTTGAATTTAATTTTTTTAATTATTATTTATTTTGATTGGGTATTGTTGCGAACTATCGAGAATATTCTTTGGAACTTATATCTCAATTTTGAAGGTGCTTGGTGAAAATTAGAATTAATTTTGGATGAATTTTCAAATTGAAACTCAATGATGAAGAAGAAGTATTAAAGTTGTATTATAATTATATGTAAATTATATTTAAGTTGTGTTCCGTTGTGATTATTTTTTTATTTGAATGTTGTATGAAAGTTGCAAAATCGTTGTATAATGTATGAATCTTTGTATGAAATTTGTATTTAAGTTATAAATACTTTCTTTTTAGATAAGGTTGTTGATATATATCAAAATTATATTGAGAGATTAAGTTTTGATTGGAATTTCAGAGAAGAAGAACACACCACATACAAATATATACAATCATATACAAAATACATACAAATTAAAAGATACATTTGTATAAAATTTATATGAAAATTGTATTTAAGTTGTATGACATGTAGTTATTACATTTAACTGAGTAAAAATAATGTATTAAAATTGTAAATAAGAGTATATATAGGTGATATACTATATGATTAGTTGTATAAAATTTATTTTTAGTTTATATGTTGTTGTAAATGTATCAACTTAGTCTGATTTTGATGATGTCTATCGTCACTGATTGAATTGCTTTGGTTTGGCGTAACTTTATGGTTCAAGCTATTAAAACGATTTTATAAGATTTGGCTCTCAATTAAGTTTTGAACTATGTTACGTCACTGTGGTTCGACATTATTGGAATTGTTATACTACAGTTAAGGCACTATTGGGAAGAAGAGAGGAGATGAGAGAAAAAAGAATAATGGTGTAATTGAATCTCGTAATTCAAGTCATTAATAATGGATTGTATATGGTGAGGAGCGACAAAGAATAGGGAAAAAGAAGAACAAAGAAAAAAGAAAAAGGGTATAATTAAATCCCCTAAGTTAAGATATTAATAATTAATTATATATAATTTATAAACAATTCTTATTTAGGACGTATACTGCTTAAATTTAAAATAATTTTGATAAGTAAATTTCAAATATTGTATAAGAACGAAAAAAATTGTTTTGGTTTCAAGACCGTATCGTGGCCCGTGGACCCGTCTGAAGCAGAGTCCTCTCTTCTCCGGATTTGTGTTAGTTTGGCTCTCTTAAACGAAACAAAAATTTCCTTTTCTTTTTTTGTCAAACAAATGAGTATCTTGACGGATTTTCAAAAAACTTCAACAAAAGAGAAGGCAATTTTAGAAAATATTTTGAATTTTCTTTTTCTCAAAAGCAGATTCCACGTAAACTTTTGCGCTACTTGAAAAAAAAAAAAAAAAAAAAAAACATTTTTT